AATGGGAGCGGAGTAAAAACTTAACCCCATGAGGGTTGGCCCTGTGGCTTAGCGGTTGAGTGTGCGCACTTCGCTGCTGGCAGCCCGGGGTTCGGATCCCGGGCACGCACCGACGCACCGTTTCTCCGCATGCTGACGCCGTGTCCCACATACAGCAACTAGAAGGATGTGCAACTATGACGTACAACTATCTACTGGGGGGCTTTGGGGAAAAAAAAGGAGGAGGATTGGCAATGGATGTTAGCCCAGAGCCGGTCTTCCTCAGCAAAAAGAGGAGGATTAGCATGGATGTTAGCTCAGGGCTGATCTTTCTAAAAAAAAAAAAAAAAAAACTTAACCCCATGAACCACTTCCATACCATCCACTTCCAATTTGCTTTTCGCATACATCACAGAGCATGCATATGCCTAGACAGACATGCAACCTACACCTACCTGCACAAGGGAATTAGTGATTGAAATAATGACTCAACTAATTCAAGCTTAAAATTTCATCTTTGCCTCAGCTGTCTAATGATTGCTTAGATTGTCTATATACTCAGAACTATAAGGCTATCATTTCTATTTATCATGGTCAGATTAGCTGAGTATCTTAGCAATAACTGATATATATATATATATATATATATATATATGTATGTATAGTTTCTTCATAAGTAACCCTTCGGAACCAGTGGAACTGAACATATTAGTTCTATTATCTATCTTCACTGCTTTGTGTCTAACTGGTAGTAAGTGTCCATTTAAGTTCCAGAATATTCAATAAAAGTGGCAAAGTTGGATTTGTAAGTGATCATCAAGGAATCTATATGATAGATGTAATGGGTACCATTCATTGAGAGCTTAAAAAAAAGTTCAGAGGCTTTAAAAAATAATATACATTAACCCATTTAATTCTCACTATAACCATAAGAGGAAGGTACATTCTCATTTAGTTTAGAAAACTAAAGCATAAAGAGATGAACTTGCCCACTTTTGGTAAGTGGTGAAACTTGCCTACTATGTAGCCACTAAAAATCATGTTTCAAAGATTATTTAATAACAGGGAGAAATGCTTACCATTTTACAAAAAATAGAACACAAAACTTACATGTGTATGTGCTTGTGTCTCACACGTACATAGACACACATACAACGACAATTTACTGAATATATATATAGTGGGTTAAAAAACCTGAAGGGTAATATACTCAATTGTTAACAATTCAGTGGAGTGATAAGTGATTTTAGCATTTTTCTATGATTGCCAAAATTTATTGGAATGAGCATGTATCATTTTGAGAATCAGAAAAAAGCAATAACAATGTTTTAAAAAATTATTCCAGAAGCTATAGAAAATTTAAACAGACCAATTGCCATACGATAAATAAAACAAATCTAAGAGCCATTCTCCTAAAACAAACAACAACTCAGAGCTTACTGGTTTATGGAAAATTTCTACTAACACTTTAAGAACCAGCTAATTCCACCGCTATTTAAAATGCTTTAGTGCTGGGCTGTTCAATTGGACTTTCTGTGATGATGGAAATGTCCTATATACGCACTGCCATATGTTAGCCACTTAAATGTGGCTAGTGTGACCGAGGAACAGGATTTTAAATTTTATTTTATTACAATTAATTTAAATATAAATAGTCGCACATGGTTAGTGATTACTATGTTGGAAACCGCAGCTCTAGACTACAGAAAATAGAGGAAAATTTGCAAATTCTTCTTACAAAGCCAGTATAACCATTACTAAACAAGATAAGAATGTAAACTATGCACAAATCTCACATCTGAATATCAAGGTAAAAAATAAATAATATACTAAATAAAATACTAACAAATACAATCCAGCACATGTTAGAGGAATAATATGTAGTGGGAATTCAGGATGGTTCAATATTGGGAAATCCATTAATATAATCCACTTCCATTAATAGATCAAAGGAAAAAACTCAGACCATAGCTGTTGAAAGGCGTTTGTTAAACATCCATTCTTTTTTTTTTTTGTGAGGAAGATCAGCCCTGAGCTAACAGCCGATGCCAATCTTCCTCTTTTTGCTGAGGAAGACTGGCCCTGGGCTAACATCCATGACCATCTTCCTCTACTTTATATGGGACGCCACCACAGCATGGCTTGACAAGCGGTGTGTCGGTGTGTGCCCGGGATCCGAACCGGCAAACGCCGGCTGCCGCAGTGGAGCGTGGGCACTTAACCGCTATGCCACTGGGCCAGCCCCTAAACATCCATTCTTGATTAAAAACTCTGAATAAAATAGGACTAAGTTGACATTTACATAACATGATAAAATATATATCTCAACCTAGAAGACTGCATGAGAAAATAATAAAATGGTGAAATGATAAAAACAATTCCATTAAATTCAGGATGTTCCTACTAAATACTGAATGAAGGCGAATACGTTCACTATTACCTTAGTTGATTTTGGAGGTATAAGCCAATGAAATTAGATAAGAGGAAAAAATAAGAGGTTTAAAGTTTGAAAGAAGTAAATTATCACTAACTGCATATTATTAATGTAATCCTGATAAACCAATATAAACAATCACAAATACTATAATGTAGTGGTTAAGATCATGGGTTCTGAAGCCCTGCTGCTTGGTCCAATTACTGGCTGTATTGCTAACTAGCTGTGTGATCTTGAGCAAGTTATTTAATCTCTCTGTTTCCTCCTCTGTAAAATGGGGACAATAAAATTATCTACTATAGGGTTATTAAGAGGATTAGCATGTAAATAAATATAGAGCTCTTACAAAATGCCTATATATAATAACTACTATATAATATAACCATTATTGTTAAGGTAATAATAATAGGCATATTATAATAATTCATAATTATAAGTTATAAAAATCTATAAATTATTAAATTATATACAAATTATAAAAAAATTTACAAAATTAACATATAAAAATCAAAACCCTTCCTCTATGAAAAAGGAGATTTCATTTATAATAGCAACACAATGATTAAATACCTAGGAACAAACAGAAGAAGAATGTGAAAGATTAAATAATATTTTAAAATGTTACTAAGGGATGAAAAGAATAGCTGAGTAAAAGGAAAACATAAACCATACTTGGATAGGAAAATTCAATATCAAAAGGTTATAAATGCCTTCTATATTATTCTATAAATTAAAAAACTAGGTAAAAGTGATTCTAAATTTATATAAAAATCAACATGAAAAAAAGTGAAGATAGAGCAATAAAGGAAGATTAGCACAAACATATATCAGACATATTACAGTGCTCAAGTACTCAAAATAGTATTTTACTGGAGTATGAATAGATACGTTAAAGGTATAGTTTAGAGAGCATAGAAATAGAACCAAATACATATGGGTATTTAATATATGCTAAATGGGGGTACTGCATATGAGGGGAAAAGATTATTCAATAAATACCAGTTACAAAAATAGGTAGGCTATCTGAAAAAAAAAATTGGCTCTCCACTTGGTTCTTTACACTGAAATAAGTTCTCTATAGATTAAAGATTTAATCATAAAAGTGAAATAACAGTAGTGGATGAAAACATGACAAAATGTTTTTCTGTAGTCTTGGGCTGTAGAAGATCTTATTATCATAAAAAACTCAGGCTCTATATAAAAAGATTGATAAATTCAGTTACATAAAACTCCAAAATTTCTGCATGGCAAAAAGCACCACAGATAAATCAAACACAATGAAAACTTGAGAGGAAAAAATTAAATCCTTCATCACAAAAAGGGTTAACTTCTTTGACCAATAAAGACCTGATACACATCAATAAGAAAATGACCAACAACTCAATTGAAAAGTGGTCAAATAATATAAGCAGATACTTCATAGAAAAAAATTGACTTTTTCTATTTAAGATGTTCAACATTACTTGTGATAAGAAAAATGTGATACCATTTTTAACTTATCAAAATGCACACAACAAAAAGCTGTCACACAATCTTTTGGTGAGAATATGGGGAAACAGTATTTGTTTATTATTATTATTATTGTATATTATATATAATGTATTATATTGTATATTATTGGGTATATTAGTATAAACAGTATTAGTATATTGCTGGTTAATGTATAAATTGATTCAACTTTTTTGGCACACAATTTGGTAGTAAGTTTAAAATACACATACCACTGCCCTAGCTATTAAACCTCCAGAATTTACCTTACAGATATACTCACAGATGTGCTCAGTGTCACGTGTACTTTTTTTTTTTGGTAGGAGAAAATATGTCCATTAACAGGAGCTGATTTAATAAGTGTGACATATGCAGAAAATGAAAAGTTATACAGTCATTAGAAATGAGAAGGCAGCTTGGACTGAGTGTTGATATGAATTAATCTCCAAGACGAAGTGAGAAATAAGGGTACAGAGTTAAGTGTGCTATCATCTGTTTAAACACACACACACACACACACGTGTTTGTAAGCACATAAAGTATTCCTGAAAGAGCAGATATTCCAGGCAGAGGAACTGAATAACTGAGGGACAGACATGAGAAGGCAATTACTTTTCGCTGTATGCCATTTTATACCTCTTGCATTTTATACCATGTGTATACATTATCTGTTTCAAAATTAATTGCTTTTTAAAATAGCTTTTATCTTTTTATCTCCTTTTCTTTTTCTGTTCACAAGGAGGAAACCCTGGCTCTTTCCAAATTATGTTGACACTGTTAGCATAATCTCAGCTCACTTATCCTTTCTCCCTTTATTATGTGCCTAAATAAATAACTGTCCAAAAAAGGAGCAAAAGAAATGTGAGATAAAGCACCTCCATTTTACAGAATACTAGAAAAACATCAAAATATGTGTATTTGGAAAAGATCTGAAAAACTATACAGCAAATGTTAACAGTGTTTATCTTGAGTGGCAGTATAAGACGTAATTTTGTTTTTGTCTTGGTATCTTCTGTGATTTCCAAAGTTTATACAATAATATGTATTACTTTTGTAATAACTTTTAAGTTTTTTTTTTTTTTAACATTTTGCTACTCACCTGGTTCCTGTCCCTGGCATTTGCATATCGAAACCTCTGGATATAATAAAAGACGAGCCATGCGAGGGAAATGATCATCAGGACAATGAAGGAGATGGAGACAAACACAACCGAAGTGCGGCTCACGTATTTCTGCAAGTTCCGGGTTCCGATGGTGATGTACATCGTCACGGTGATGTTTCTCTCCAGCAGGCTTACTATCTCCTTCCCTTTTGGCTCAGGAATCATTATTGCCACGATGTCTTCTACACCTGTTGTGACAGGGGCAGGTGGGGTATGGGGGTAAGAGAGACGGAGAAAATCATAGTGAAATGTCTGGACAAAGTAACATGCAACCAAATAATGACACTACTTTTGAGAATTTTATGCCACATCTAATAGCCAGGTCTAATTCTAAGATCTAATAGCCAGAAACAGAGTCAGATTTTGTCTTTCTTTAGCTACCCTGGGACGGTGCTGTCTTGTTTATGAGAAAAGAGCCTAAATTGAATTCATGATTTTGGTACCAGCTAGGTCATGATCACGCTATCTCCAGCTCTCTAAGGCGTTGTTGACCCTGGTCTGTTAAAGGCAGACCCTTCCCAACTAGCCCAGTTTACAGTTCTATGTTGCATTTCACAGATCCCCTCGGGGAAGAGAAAAGGCACTTTGTACTCCATGGCAAAAGGGTAAAAATGTCCAGTTTTATGCCATCTGTCTGCGAGCTCTCTCTCTTTTCCCCACACAGACACTAGGAATACTCAATTATGGATCTCTACTTATCATTTCCAAGACAATTTTCCCCTACAGTGAGTACCCAAAGCAACCCCCAAAAAAGTTTCTTAACGAGCTCTAGTATGATTTGCCAACATAAAACAATGGTCTCAGAACTATTTATTTTACCTAATTCAGTGTAAACATCTTCACACCTCGTGTATCCTCACACCAAGCAAAGGGATGATGGAGGCTGCACAGATAATTCCAGGATTGTTTTCCCTCCACCCTTGAATACTCCCACCACAATGCTGCTGTTGTTGAACAATTGGAAGCAAAAGTGGCAACTTTGTTGGGTTTGAGTTATCTGGGTCATTGTCCCCGTTCTTCATGACACTATGTGAAGCACAGCCTCTTGGTAAGGAGTTTTGGGGCCTCTACAAGGGGGTCTTTAGTAAGGATATGAAACCAGCTCCAAATGAACCAAGTCGACATGTCATTGTGGCTGATACATGGACTAGAACACTGATTTCACCAGGATAGGTTCTTAGGGATCACCCCAATTCATACCTGCAAAGCTCTTCATGGGCCCCACTTCCACATGGAAATAGCCCATTACCTGGAGTCACTACAAATTAAAGGGAGCAAATTTGCAATTAGGATGTCGTAGATTCAGGACAAAATTAAACACCACTATAGCTGCTTAAAGCTGGCTTTATCCACATGCTGAGGCCAGTCAGCTGGATGGAACTCCCAGATTATATTTGCTCAGAGTGTTACAAGTCTCTTAGAAGCTACGTAAGGCTTTCACTTGACCTTGATCTCTATGCAGGTTTTCAATCCTAAATTCCTTGATGGTATTTCGCTTAAGCTGAATAAATACTTTAAAAGCTAACTGCATACAAAGGTGTCTGTATGTGCACCCTCAATGACGTATTTTTAAAAATTCCTGAAACCTTTGCATTGACCCAATTGTAAAATCATAAAGCCACATGGTGTTTAGATGTGGCTGTTGTTTCTGGGAATTACTGACACTGATGGCTTGAATTTCAACTTTGCAGAATTTACTGACAAGTCCAACACTCCTTTTCTTTTCATGTTTACTTTGGCTAAGGGCTGCATGTGGTCTGAGGTCTTGTGAGGGATTAAGGCTGCTGGCAGGTTTTGTCTCAACAGAAATATGATCTTCTTTGTACTGGACTAATCTGGTCTGGTGAGGCTCATCCCAGCGCTGGAGCCATTTTATAGATATTTAAGTAGTGGCAGAGTCATAACTTTTCACTTAATTGATTTCCTTATTTACATTTTTTAATCATGTCTATTCAAGGCTCAAAAATGAGATTTTGAGTAGGGAATCTTGGGGTTATTTATAAGAATTTGTATGCTCAGACTTGCATAAGTTTTACATTTTTTAGTAGTCAAATTTCATTAATACGTGGCTGTATGGCTTCCAGTTTTGATACTCTGCTTAGGAAGTTCTTCTCCACCAAAGATGATAGAAACACTCATCTAAAATTGCTTTTCGAAAACTCATAGTTTTACTTTTTACATTTAAATCTTGAACAATCTAAATGTGATTTAATAACAACACAACATTTATTGAGCTCTTATAATGTCATGGACAGAGAGGAAACAGATAGGATGCAATTTATTTTTCCCCTAAATTCTAAATATATTTGGGTCTACTTTTGGATTTTATTTTATTGTGAGGTTGATCTATTGTTTGCTGAATCTGTATCAAGCTATTTTAGTTGTGTAGCTTTTAACATATTTACTATCTGGTAGCCTAACTTGTCCTTCACTAATTTCCCCTACAATTTTCCTATTAACTACTTATATTAAGAGACCGTAGAGCCTCCAGCGAAGAGTTGGGCTCTGGAACTGGACGGCCTGTTTCAAACTCCAGGTCAACATTTTAAAAACAGGCCACCAAATTTTGGATATCCACCAAGTTTTAAACTATTCATCAATCGTTTTCAGGGACCTGAGACAACATTTTCTCTTTCTGTAGGGTAAAGGATAATTAACTATTTTAAAGCATTTCTTTTAAACTTAAGTGCTTAGTTACACTACTTGTGTTGCCTGTACCACTACTGTGCCTTCATGATACACAACATCCACTTGGAAAGACAAACAGTGAACACGGTAGTGGGGTGGGTCTATTCACCCACACTTCAACCTTATTCTTCTTCAATATTCATAATGAACTTCTAGGGCTGATGATGGTAAAAAATGGATGGGATTCTGAGATATTTCTCCACGCACTTTAGGCTATATATTGTGCATGATGAAGAGATACTGAGTGTATGCATTTATTCCAGTAGAAACAGTCATTGAGAATTTAGGTACTTAGGGTGTCCAAAATGGTACAAAGTGAAGTGGATTTGGATGAATTATCTGGCCAGTCTGATCAATGCACAAAATCCAGGGCAAAAAGCTACTATAGGATCTAATCTGTTTAAATGAGACATGTGCCCCAATGTGAGTTATCAGACGATTCCCTGATCTTTGCTTCATTTTGGAATGTGCAGCTAGTGTTAGGAAGAAGCTGGCAGATTCTCCCCAGGTATACTGCAGTGTAATTGCTTCTAAGGGTGTGTGTGAGGGAGGGAGGGGGAGAAGTAGGGGTGAGGAGGGGGAGAGACAGCAATGAAAGCCCAGCTGCAGGATCTCCTCAGAGTTAAATGCTGCCCTAAGTATCTAACCTACAATACACCAGAGGCTTGAGACTCAGGGAAAAGAAGTTAACAAATAGCATGTTTTGTATGGGTAAAATCTACAAAGAGGCCCTGATATTTGGGCAATTCTATGTTTACTGCAACATCTAGTCACTCTAATATTGAGTGCCTCTTTTTGCAAAATTATGCCAGCCTACCGTCTATTTTCCTCCCAAAGCTACTTTATACTTCTGAGTGATCGCTGTTGTGTGATCATTGTGTATTCTGGAGAAGCTCTTTAGGCCTGTGAGAGAATATGTGACCAGCACATCTATGATCTGGCCGCCAGACAAATGGCAGGAGTACCCTGTTTTTTCACTGCTTCCTTTTCCCAGGAGATGCTCAATTGCCATTATTTAATTTGGCATATGCGGAGAGGTAAGGGATCAAAACAAAAGTTCAGAAAGCCAAAGAATATTTAATAACCAGGAAATCCTTTACTTACAAATTCAAAACCAGTTTGTGTAAACATTGCATTAATAGAATGCCTAGTACACCAGCAGAGTGCTAGAGATTTACAGAGCCGGCAGCCCCATTCCTCCCTATGCATTTTGAAGGGTGATAATGTCCCTCCTAGGTTCATGTGAGCAAAAATCCTTTTTCAATTCTCTGCATCCCCTCGCTCCCCTAATCTTTACTTTAGTCTCAATGATAGCCCTTTAGAATTTAGGCAATAATAAGAAAAGGCTGCAGTTTCCATTTGTAGATATTTTCTATTTATACACTGAATATCTACCTTTTCTTTTTTTTACAGTCAGCTCCTGATTATCATCTATTCTGAAGTGAGATAATGTATGTGAAATGATTTTTCAAATTGCAAAGTACCATATAAATGTAAAGTATTACCACTTTCTGTATTGATTTAAAATATTTTTAATAAATACAGATGCAAAAATCCTAAATCACTCACAAATAAGACTCCAACAATATAGTAAAAAAATCTTCACGGGCAAGTGGGATTTATGCTAGGAAGGTGAGGGTGATTTAACATTAGAAAATGTATCAACGCTTTTTAGTACATTAACAAATTAAAGGAATAAAGCATATGATTATCTTGTGGAGCTAGCCGTCCCCCAACATCTCATCTCTTTTACTTCTACAGCGTTAGTGTTTAGCTGGGCACAAGCCGTCCAGCGAAAAGTGCTAATCATCAGCCTCCCTTGCAGCTAGAAGTGGCTACATGATTAATATTTGGCCATGCGGATGTGAGTGGAGATGATGTTTGCTACTCCAGGGTCTTATCCATAAAAGGACTGAGGATGCACACCCCAGATCCTGTCTTCTCTTTTCCCTGACTTCAGATAGAGAGATGTGGAGCAGGCAGCTTCTTAGAGAAGGAAGTCATATGTTTAGGATGGCCCCCATTCCTGATTCTTATTAAGAGAAATATAAGGAAATTCCCTTAATGTGATAAAGAGTGTCTCTCAGAAGTAGTACATTAAATGGAGGGAAAAAGCATTAGAAATTTTCCAGTTCAAATCACGAACAAGACAAGGATGAGCCAATATTTAAAGCAGATGTGGTATCCTGCGCAAAGAGACATAGAAATTAAATAGACTGGTAAATCTTGGACAGGAAGAGTGCAAACTGTCATTATTGGGGGGATTATACAACCACCCAAAAAAGCCAAGACAACTTAGCTATTAAAATTAGAAGAATGTTCAGTAAAATACAAGATTCAAGATCAATATACAAAAGTGAATAGCTTTCTATACACCAGTAATACCTAACCAGAATATGTAATGGAAAAAATTATCTACCCCTATAGCAGAAGAAGTCATAAAATATCTAAGGGTAAACCTAATAAACACTAGCCCTATATGAAGAAAACTATTCAATAA